GTGAAAATGGAAGTTGATTACCCAGAAGGGTGAATCACTGCTGGCTGTAGGACACTCCCAGCCTCACCTGATTCAAGAGCAGTTTAAACTCTCTCTCATTTTGCACTTCAGGCAAAATGAAAAAAAAGTGGTCTGAGCCATACCAGGAGATTCTTCCCTGAGATAAAATCAGGGTCATTTAGGACTGCTCCTTTAGCAAGTCAAGGTGGTGACAAGCTCGAGAGAGAGGAGAATGGGTAACTTTGAGTGCTAATAATTTAACCTGCATCTTCTGCAGACGTAACTGTTTGTATAACCTGCCCTATGGCACGGTGAAATGGTCCAATGCCTTGCACTAGTGCAGAGAAGGCAGTTCTGACACATTATACCTGCTTTTTAAAACAAATCCCATTAAGGACACCCCTAAGCTGTACCCCCAGCCAGTACCCTCTCAAGGGCTCAAAATCCCCTGAACCGGGCCTCTCACCCTCATCCCATCCGTGGCTTCTGCAGGTGTGTGATGGGGCCCACATCCCTGGGCACAACTGCTCTCCACCTGCAGCAAGGGAAACAGAGGGCAGAGCCCCCCAAAAGTGCAGGGCAGCAGGGATGAGAGCAGGGACCCTGCCTGGCGGGGGGCAGCCCGGGGCGGGGATGCTGTCAGGAGGGAGGCCGGGTCCTGGCGCTGGCCTGATCTCTGTCCTTAGGCTCCCTCTAGAGTTTACATCAAATGAGCAAAAAGTCTTAAACTCCGCTTGGCTGTACCCTCTCTCCGCGGCGTGGGCAGCACACCTGCCTCCTGCCCGCGCTGAGCCCTCCTGCCTGCAGCAAGGGGGTTGCAGGCAGGGCAGGCAGCAGGAGCGGCTCCGTGGCAGGGATGCTGCCTGCTGAGCTGCTGCACCCTGCCCCTACAGCGAGGCATGCAGAGGGGGGCTGGCATCTCCTAGCCGCCCCTCGGCCCTGCTCCGGTGCTGGGCACTCCTGGATGATATCCCAGGGCCTTCGTAAGCTAAAATGGCACAGGCCTCTCTCCTCCCTGATGGCCTCTGCTGCTGAACCTCCCCAGGCCCTAATCCTGCCCAGAAGGGAAGGGCTCCTGTTAAGCACATTATGAATATCCCCAGTACACTCAGGGGAATTCTCGGGGCCTGTGCCTCAAATCTCATGGCGGCCTCACCCCACATCTCTTTTGCCTGAAAAAGTGGAGGTGTGGGGAAACAGAATGAGCTCAGTAACAGCCGAGGTGTGTGAAAAGCAAACTTCCTCAAGCCTCCGGCTTTCAAATGGGTCACACCGTGCCCCTGCCTCCTTCATCCCCAACTCTGGAAGACGCATCCTGTGGAGCAGCTCAGATATTATTCCCAATTTCCCTGCTATTTGCAAGGGAATATTGAAAATCCCAAACAACCCAGCCCCTTTATGTGTACGGTTCAGATGTGCTTTGCTGGTTCACTTGACAACCTTATAAAGTGCTGGGGAAGGAGGGTGGCCAAAATAAGGACGGGAAGCTTGCCTAAGTGGTTCTGGAGGAAAGAAAAACAGTGAGCAGCTCTGCCAGTGGAAAAGCCCAAACAAGAGAGAGGAGCAGGGTACTGGGAAGAGAGGGGACAGGGTGTTCAGAGGCTATTAGAGGTGCCAGGACATTCCTCGCACAGACCTCCCTATAAACACTCCTCCCTCCTTCCTGGTTCACTCCTCCAAGTTTTGGTTGGGGTTTTGGGGTTTTTTTGTTGTTGTTTGTTTCCCTTTCTTTCTCTAATCCTCTCTTCCGATCTTTGACTGGCTGCATCTTCAGCTTAAATGGCAACAGAGAGAGGAAAAACTGGCTAGGTGCAGGCAAGGGCTTTGGGGTCGCTCTCAGAGCTCGCCCCCCTCCTCATCCCCACCCCGCTGCGCGGCCGCGCAAACCCGCGCACCGCCTCCCCTCCGCAGCCCCGCCTGCTGTGCCCCTCTTTTGCAAGACGATGGCGCTCTGATCTTTCCAGATCCTCACTCCGGAGCTCTCTAGTATTTTTTTTTCTGTCGGTTTTTTGGTTGGGTTTTTTTTTTTTTTTT